GACTGATGCCAGACACAATTTTACTTTTTGCTCCTTAGTTATGAAGGCTTCTTCAATTCCTTCTGGTGAAACCTTTCCAATGTTATTCAGGGTCAATTTATCAGGATTATTTCATGCCTTTCACAACCGTGAAAAATGTGAATCATTCATAATAATTCAGCCAAATTCTGTTTAAACACATTATGGTTATTTTATATCTTTTACCACATTTTTAGTTTCACAAATATCAAAAACAACATGTATATGTTCAGTTTGCAACATAGAACTAACTACTGTACAATTCCAAAAGAGCAGGCATTTCAAAGAAACAATCTGAAGTGTAAACACAGCATATTAGCTCTTCACCTCACAATCCAGGTGCTGTACAGTAGAAGCTGAGGTAACACCTTATTCACTCTGCACAAATGTTCCCACTTAACTGAGAAACCTGAACATCTTTTTACCTGTCACCAGTTCAGTTCTTCATTCCCCCAAGTTATACAAACATACAATAAATACATTTCTGATTTTAAAGGACACTTAAACAAGTCATGAGAATTAACGGTACAGTACATTTAAGTTCAAGTGCAAAAAATGACTAGTGGCTAGTTATTAACAATTATTTTTACTCTCTCTGTGGCCCTGGTTCCAGGCACCCCCACACAGGCTCTCGCACCTCCTTGACCTTTGCTACAGCATATGCTGATGGAAGCCCACTTAGCTGGTCCAAGTGGACATCAAGCATTGTGCAATTTCACCCACTGCTTCAGTCTAAGCTGTCATTCTCCTCCTGCCCACCCCAAGCACTGAACTCCACAGGAGACCACAGCTGCATCCTGCCATAAACTATGCAGTTCAATCTGGTGAGACAGTATGCACCTTCACTGGAAGAGGCCACACACATTTATCTGATTTCAAGAGAAGCTATGTACCGGCAGTTCCCATTCACTTCAGTAGAAATGGGGACACATTGCACTTCGAAAATCAGGTTACTGGTGTTAAGCCTGGGCCTAAATACTATCCTGACCTATACCCTAATGCAACCCCATTGATTTCAACTCAGAACCCAGGTTCCCTTTCAGCAGCACTCTGTGCTATGAACTAACCAGCCAACAAGCTGGCTAAATTTAATATTACAAAGCATGACTAGACATAACTAAACATTTTTCAGTGTCTTGACATGGAATAAAGCAATTGTCTAAGTTTACTGCAACTTAATTATGTCTCTCCAATTTTGAGGGTGTTTTTACTTAAATTTGACTTTTATTCTCCCTTCCAAACCCCCAATCATTAGGATTTATAAACAATTTCCTCCCTCCCTTCCCCAGGCACTTTAAGCTCTTTCTGTCCTCTATAAATAACCACAATAACTACACTTAATTAAATAAACTATTTTTACATATGATGAAATTAAAAACAATAAAAAGATGTCTCCATTGGAAACCATGATCAATCAAACGGAATAATCTTTACCAAGGTTTGTGGTCTCAGGAACAATATCAAACCTAAAATTATACCTACACATTTAGCAAATGCCCTTTCCAAGCAAAGGGCTGTAAGCACATGGAGACAATTTAAATTTTCCTGTTTTTCCCTCTAAAAAATGCCCTTTTGAAAATGTCACACCTTGCAGAACTAAACCTCTCTCTCAAAATAAGTTAATAGCAGCTTCAAAAGATTCTGCTGCATGGTCCACTTAATCCATCACTACCGTATAAAAATTATTTGCTAAAGCCATTCAAGGTTTCTGAGAAGTCACTTCTATACAAGATAGAAATGTATGCTGTTCCTTTATCCACTCTTCCTTTAGGATTTCTTAGTTCTTGTAATTTTTCCTAGGGAAATGCAATTTTTCTTCCAAAGAACTTTCTTTTTGGTATGAAGAAATTTGAAGTTAAACCAATTGCTCAAATAGAAATTGCGCACTTAAGTGTTTTTTCTTCTGTTGTAAAACTATAAAACAAGCTTAACTATAGGTTGCCAATAAATCCCATAAACGTTTGACCAAACTTTAGCAAACAGTTGAGAAAGTTTTTCTGCAGTTAAATTCAGTCCCATCTCTTGTATCCAGCTACCAGAATTCTAGCCTCCCTTGAAAGTGTGGCTATCATATATTATCATACAAAGTTCTTAAATGTTTAAAAGCTTGTGCTGCATCACATTACATTCACCAAGATGAAGGGAGTCCTACTTGTAAGTTCTTGTTCCATCTTTTTCCAGCTGAAGAGCAGGATTCCATGCAGCAGATCTGAGAAGATGAATTCATTTTATTGCCCTGCATCAGCAGGCTGAGGATTACAGTCCAAGGAAACCCGATCCAACACAGGGTGGTCGGGGACATTTTGGGAGTTCAGTGTTGCCATAGGCGTTGAACAATTTCTGGATTGGTCAGTGTTTTTCAGCTCTGGGAGCTGTTCTGCTGAGTTGGCTGGTGAAGCATGATTTTCACTGGCTTTCTAAAGAGAAAAGAAAGCAATGTGCAGAAATGTAAGCACTTATTCCTATAATACTACACAGTGGGAAATGCTGTCAAACAACATAGCTTAGGTTATACTATTTGCAAGCAGCAGAACAAATGAGCTGAAAGCAGGAGAGCAACAAGGTACATTCTTATCCAGATAGCACTAGTAACGAGCAGAGAACAACTTACCTTCCATCTCTTTTCCTAACTGCACTTCCCCAAGAAGCATGCAAAAAACAAACTTGTTGTGTTTTAAGAGGAAAAATATTCACAGTTTACAGCCAACATCATCAGTACTGAATTGTTTGTTAAAACACATTTTATACTCACCCTCCTGCAATCTAAACATATTCTTAGTTTTTTTTTTCTTAGAGGATTCTCAGTCCCACTAGATGGCTGCACTTTTGCAGCTAAGGAATGCAAGTGTCATAATTTCTCTTAGCAGTAACCAGCAGATCAGCAATTCAAAATAGACAATTTTCTGGATCAGCCAAGAGAGAAATTGTTGGAAGCGATTTTCTGTAATACCCAGTGCATACTTTTAAAAAACATTTCCCATGTTACATGACCACATTTTAAGGACAAATGGCAACTATATTTCCTGAGGCCCAAATAGGTAACATCTTCTACAATACTGACAGTATGTCATCTTCTAATCTGAAGAGCTATTTATGAAAATTTGTTTTGCATTAACGCATTGGAGGGTGGCTAGTGTGTGTCTTTGCTTGAAGCAAGACTATAAGAATAGAACACTTGGAAGTGAGGAAGAAAAAAGTGTTTTTGTATTTAATTCCAATTTCTGTGGTCTGACAACTTCTCCCTTGTGTGACCCACATTCATGAAAATTGTTAGGAATTTGGTTTAAAACGTTTAAGGTGGCAAATAGGCAAACTTTCTCTGGTTTTTGAATTTTATCAAATTCAGGTCAAAAGAACTGAGTGAAAGAAAAAATAGCAGTGTAATTTTGCTATTATTTTTAAATTTTGGAACTAAAAATTAGTAATTTCTTAAAGGACTAAATTGGTCAGATGAACCCCCATTAGTTCAAAGTAGCTGATATATATCTTTATGTTTATCTTCAATGGAAACTAAAATGTTACTTCATGCTTCATCTACCCATGTTATTATGGATAGTGCAGGGGAAAAGGAGAGATCCTGAAAGCTGGGTTCTGCATGGCTGGGACCTTTAATATAACCCTCTCATACAAGTAATTTTATTTCCAGTATTGTTCTCATGTATATAAATAATCTGATTCATTAAGAAGCTGACTCTAATTCTTCCAATTTGTGTGGGAAACTTTTAATGCAATGTACAAAATTTGGTTTAATTAATGAATTAGCAAAATTAGCATTAATACAAAGCTACTTGAACGATGCATTAAAAAAAGGACAGAGGGTAAGACAGCATGTTGTTGGAGACAGCAGAGGTAGTTGCAATATGTAGCAAGACTTTTGCAGACAGTTCACAATTACCTAAGCCATTCACAGAGCCTCCAACACTCAACCTGGCTGAGACTCACAACTGCAACAATGGAACATATATTTCTTGCCTTGGGAGGTAGCATAAATTGTGCGCTAAGTTCCCTTCTGACCTTCAGATGAGGCCATTACAAAGAAAGGCATATAGTAATAATTGTTTGAGGGTGCTATAACTATGGGTAACTGAGAAAATATTCTGTGTGAAAAGAGCAATGGGATGGTATAGTGGCATAGAATTCCAGTACCACTGTTTGGATGACTGATTTTTCCAAGACACTCTGTCTGTTTTAAACAAGATAAGTTTCAGACATATCTCTCTACATTCATTACTGCGCACAATGTATAGATGCATGCTCCACTTGTGGTGTGCCAGTTAATTTCAGAGGCAATGGAATCTCAACATGCACGCTGAGAAGAGAATACACTGCTAGGTATATTTACAAAAATACCAGCAAATGAGAAAGGAGAAGTGGTCAAGCTGGAATTTCTGCAAATACCATTCTCCTGAATCCGTGAATCAAGCCCAAAATTACCCCCTTTCAGAAAAAGGCCATGTGAAAATGACACTTCTCGGCATATGGGATGGTATGGTAAGTATACACTCCCCTCTATGGAAAAGGAGCAAACAGGTGAGTGGGCAATCTATCCTATCTTAAAATCAGCACTGAGAGCAGCAGCACAAGTCTGCCTACAGCACTGACCAATGGGCTTCAATTCCATTTAGGAAAGAACAGCCTAATAAACCAAATGATAGCTTAGTCTTCAAGTGTACCCAGTTGCTGGCCTCAGACTACTACACAGATTGCCAGGGAATTCTGTAGTGTAGATACCAAAAGCAACTAATTTTGCACATGCCACAGAACAGACCCCAAAGCACAATGACTTTCAGTTGCGACAACCCTAGGCCAAGCTCAGATAGTAATGGGTCCCAGTTCCATCTATCAATTTCCTGGGACCTCTTATTTCCACAGTAATTTGGGATCTTTAGCAGTAGTTTCTCCCCCCCCATTAATTTCACTGACACATTAATATAAAATGAAGACACAAAATATTTTTCACCCTAATAATACACCATGCAATTTTGTTTACTGATTACATATGATCTTATTTTCATCTTTAAAATACTATTAACGATAATCTGAATTTTTATGTGCATCAGGGATGGGTTACCTGCAAAGGCTGATTTTCAGGTGCTGGACTGTTTTTAGATAGCCGAACCATCTCTTTTATTTGACAGATAGCATAAGCCAGAGTAACCCAGGGAGAAGAGCTGATCCCCCAGGCAGGCTTGTTAACATCTTCCTGCTCTTCTTGATGCTTAGTTTTCTTGGGAAGAAGTCTGGGATCAGTCCGAGGCATTATATCATCTGACTGTTGCTGTACAAGGTCAATAGTTGCTATGGGAACTGGGCTGGAAGGAACTGGGATCCTTTCTGCCAGCATTGTCTTCTCTGAAGTTTAAAAACAAAATAATCAATTAAGGTCAACAACTGTTACAAGAAAACTGAGAATTAAGATTCTGAATAAGGATGCACATTAACGTGCTCTGGATGCAACAGTGAAGGAACATAGTAATCCTTTCCAACACACACTTCCACTGGTCATAAAAGGTGCTTGCAGACATTAAAAACCCACAAAAAATGGCCCTTTAAACTCAGCACATTCTTGTGCCAAGCCCTGCGCACACTTAGAAGAGGCAGTGCATTATTTCACCCCAGCTTGCCCAACATTTGTAAAGATCAGGGGCTTTAGTGGGGCTTTTTTGGCAGTTTTATCTACAAGACAATTGAATCAGCTTTGCTAAAAGCACCATGACCCCCCCACTGAAGTATCCAGTCTTTACAGACTGCAAAGTGGGGTTGAAGTAAAGCACTGCTTCTTCCAGTAAAGCATGGCTTGTTCGGTTTTTTGGGTTTTTTAACATCTGCAAGCAGCCAGTCTTACTTTTAGTCTGAACAGGATACTGTGTCCAATTTAGATGTTGCATATATAGTACAGGTTGGACTGCAACCTCAGTAAAAAATGTCAGTCAATTCAGTGAACAACAGGGGCTTAAAAATAAGGAGGCGGTTGTTTGCTCCCTGAACATCTCTTTCTATTTCAATTATTTTTTATTTTTGTGTTACCTGAAAAATTATTAAAACCTTAGTAATGTTGTTAAAAGGTTAGTAAAACATTTTTAACTGAAACAAACTCCTCTCTGTGCACAGCCCACCTCTTGTGACTGATGGTCATAACCAAGTACTGACTTATCTTTTGCGAGAAGCCATGGACGGCACAGTCCTCCAGCATCTCAGGGTACTTTGCTTCTTCCACCCCAGGAAGACAACTGCATCACTCACTGGACTCTACTGCTCCAACCCAGGAGAGAACAGAACACACCCCCTCACAATCCCACATTGCAGGGAGACACCAGCTGACTTTGAGCAGTTTGGGTCAGCCAGTCAGGGCTGCCCTGTGCACTACTGCCATTGTCTCTGGGCAGTTACCATGGTGCTTAAACAGAATGTCCTAAGATTTTGCATAGCTACAGCTAAGCAAGTGCTTAACTTTAAGCACAGGGTAGTTTCATCGTCTTTAAACAGACTCCTCACATCAGTAAAATTAAGCAAATATACCACATACTAAAACAGATGGTGTTAAATTTTTAAATAATGGTTGTGTGTCCTGTAAGACAGTCAATACATATGAAATACATTATTTTTTCCTCAAATTTGCAACAGAAATATTTTAAAATAATACAAATAAGAGGCTTATTCTGCAAACATGTAAGTGTATATGCACTTATCTTGTATGAAGAATCTTGTTGAAGGCAATGACTCCCCTTATGCTTAAGGTAAGTGCAGGCAGAACTGATATCTAAGATTTGCACACATCTACAGGTGGACAGGGAAGTGGAAAAACCAAGTGAAACAAATTCTGTAGGACTTACTCATTAGGAAAATATTAATTAAAATCTATTTGCAAGGTTCATACGTACCTGCTCCATATGAAATAGAAACAGTGATTACCCAGTCCAAGTTTGTACTTTGCTCCATTTTCTTTTGAACACAAGTGGAGGAAATCAAGGCAAAACAAATATTTGAACACTCTCAAATATAGGCCACTCCAGAACTGTTCAAGGACATCTCTCCTACTTAACAAAGCTGAATTTCAAATCTTCTCAGTTTTGAGAAGAAATAAAAAAGTAACATTTGCCTTAAAAGAACTTAAACATTTATTGAAGGCTGTTCTCCAATAGGTCCTCTCCAGTGCCTAGCAGAAGAGATGAAACTTGGGCTTGAAGGGTGATGGCCCAAGTATTTATCACCACAAATGTTCTGGACAGTGATAACACCCATACATGTATAGGTGCCTCAGTGTGGGAACTCCACAGTGGAGACAGGGGCACACAGAGACAGTGTTGCCTGGTCCCCCATCTCGAGGCACGCTGCTCCCCAGCCAGCCAGGGAGCCCTGGGCTGTATGCTCCCCCATCTCCACATTTGTCTTGGCACATGATACTGGTGTTCTTTGTGCCACTTTTTTCAGGGTTTTTTTTTTTGTTTTGTTTTGTTTTTTTTTAAATACCAGGAAATCCCAGTAGCAAATTTTACCTCAGCGCTGCAAATTAGCAGTGCCGTGCATTAATGTGCAATGTATAGTTTGCAGCACCACAAACCGTACATGCTTCCATGTCTGGATCCAGCCCTGGAGTCCAAAGGCTGAATCTGGCCTGCAGAGCTGGGGTTTCAGCAACAGAGGCTGTGCTTCTACTGCACTGCACTGCACCGCATCATGGCTGGGTGCTCTTCCCATACTGTACTGCAGCCAGCCTGCAGGCAGAAGCAAGAGTGGCAGCTGGGCCTAGTTATGGTCCACATTTGACCTGAGCTGGCCATTCTGAACCACTGCCAGAAAAACGCTGCTGCCCACAGCCTTAGAGGGCCAATACAGAACCTCACCCTATCATCAGATTACATTTGAACACACCTGAAAGCTGCTGACTGAGCAGGGAGGGAGGAAAAACACCAAGATTTATGACAAGACAGTATCAGGGATGCTGTGGAATGATTATAGCTAGTTATGGCATTTTTATTCCATATCTAAAATTTTGTAGCACCTAAAGTACTTGCCATGAGAATATGAAAGCAGATTTTAACTCAGCGACTTGAACATTACCTTCTTCTTCATCAGGAACTGCGAGCCACTGGATCAATGCAAAGAGTAAAAGAATCACTAGACAGGCCATTCCTATCCCCCTGAACGTCGCAGCAGGCCCTGTAATAAGAATGATTTCAGAATCAAATAAGTAATACAGGAGGAGACAAGACAGTGTAATGCCTTCATTCAGTGTTCAAAGTCCCATATAAAGTCTTGTTACATGATTAGGGTGTATTTTTTTTCTCCTGGCATTTTCAGCAACAGGTTATTTTATATAGATTCTCACTTCTTGATCAAGTCTGGAAGCTATACTACATCAACATGAAAGTAAATACCATAGTCTACCATCTCACACAGGATTCACCCTATTCCCTATCAGAGGATGGGCCAGTATTTAGAAGTAGATTTAGTCACATAGCCCTACAAACCATCAAGACATAATGTTTGTAATGGAAAAACATTTCATGTAATAGAACACATGTACTTGGGTAAAACAGATTTTTTAAAGAGTAAGAATAACAAATACGGTTTCATTAACATGTTAAGTGCAAGTTTTAGATTAGTCCAGTTTTACTGAACCAAAAACTATGGATGGCAACCACCCATCATTAGAATTTTTGCTTACCAAAGTAATTCACCAAAACCCCTCCAATCATGGCTCCACATCCTCTGCCCAGCCCAAGGTGAAGACCTTGTAGGATCCCCTGAGCTGAAGTTCTTAATTCTGGAGGCACTGCTGCACTAAGATACGAAATACAAGCTGCCCATATAGCCGCATGGGTCACTCCTAGAAAAAGAAAAGTACAAGTCTTAAGTATAGGGGCATGGCCAAACTAGTTTACTAGTGAAAAGTAGGAACTACTTGTCTTGGTAAGGAAGTGTTTATTTAAATATTAAATTCAGCCTATAAAAGTCAGCCTCTCACTGGCATAGTAGCTCAGTTTTTACAGTAGCCCCAAAAGCACCTAGATATGTAATAACTCCTCTTTTTGTACATTGTGCAACGAACTCTTTGTTCCTCCAAACTGTTCTCATTGCGTGTCCATGAGGTGGTCCCTAGTAAAACAGAATTCAACACAAAACGTGTTTTTATGTATTTCTCTTCCAGATTCTCTTTCCTCATTTGAGTAACTTGGGGCACATTTGGCCTTGGTTTGTAGGCAATGACGACTGATGAGTAATCATAGCGTGACCATTTCTGTCAAAACCAAGTATCTAAAAGGTTAATAGTACTTATACAACCCATACACAAAGAAACAGGAATGTACATTTGTTTAAATAGTCTCAAAACAAATTCTTCTTCAATTCTTGACATTAATACACTTTGCATTTAGCACTGAGAAACCCTGACTAATAGACCGTGAAGACTCCTCAGGGTAAGAAAGGTACAATAAACGTATTTATGCTGTCTGTAATCATATTCAACAGGATCTCTCCTCACTGCAGCAAATCTGTTCTGACCGCCTATGTCACTATGTCAGTTTTGCTAGTCACTGCCCCATTTCTCCGGCTTCCACTGCTACCAATGGCCAAAGTCCTTTCATATATAAATAATGAACAGGAATTTAACAACTTCTTGTTAATTTATTTTTAAAACGGTGTCTTTTCCTGTCACTTACCTTATGGAATCAGAAATGTGTAAAAAAAAAAATTGCTTAAGACAGAACAAAGTGGCAAGATGTCATGACCAGAAAAAAGGGAACTATTAACAACCTTTTCTCCTGTAGGCTAATATCTGCAACATTTACTTGATATTCCTGTTTTGGTTTGGGGGAGAGCCAGGGTATCAAAAGGGAAGAAGGAAGAAAGCAATTCTGGAGTACACTTATCACAAATAGAGCCGAGCTATTTTACTATTTCATTTGATAAAATAAAACAAAAATGCATACACTTTCACGGCTTGGAAAATACTTATTTAAGCTGAAGTAGAATTAAAAATAACAGAGAATGGATGATTTGATCACCAGTGTAATTCAGTTCAGTTCTACAATTATTCGTCAGTTCCAACTGAATATTCAAATAAATCTGCTTGGAGTTTGATGACATACAAGATTACATGAGTTCTGCTTGGTCATAACCAGGGATCCAGGTTTTCCATTTGCCACAGAAAAACCTGGTAAAATGTAGATTTTCCCATTTTAAGGAGAAAACCCGGATTGTCTCCTTTAAAGGAGAAAAAAAGTGGGAAATGGTGGATTTCCCCTTGTAGGCTGGCACAGTTCCAGCCAGCAAGGGGCTGGGGGGAATGGGAGGAGGATGATAAAGCAGGGGGCACCATGTGCATGTGTACATGCACATCGTAGCCAGGCAGCATGAGAGCAGCTCCGTGCAAGTAAATTGGGGGGGGGAATAAAGGCCCCCATAAAGAGGGAGGGAGAAAGGCAGGGAGGAAGTAAGGGAGGGAGGGAGTTCAGCAAGGCTGGGGCTGGGGGTGCTGCCCAGCCAGGGTGGTGTGTGGGGCTGGGGGCCCAGAATGCTGAGCCACAGGGCCCAGCAGGGAGCAGGACAGAGCCATGGGCAGCTTGTCTGGGGGGCGGCAGGGCCAGGGTTCTCCACCGCTACATACACTCCTGGGGAAAGGGAACATGGGGTTACGTGCCCTGCAGATTTATGCACAAGGCAGGGAAGATGTGGTCTGGGACCTACCAAAATCACGGCAGAAGTGTGCTGTGCAGCAGCTTGTTTAATCTTGCTTGTTTCACCACACGCCCCTTCCCCTGATTGGCCGAGGGGCCCCAGTAGTCCTGCCATTTGCTGCTGATTAGCCAGGAGGCAAAAAACGCGTTTTTAAATATGCTTTGGTTTTTGTCTGTCTCTGCTGCTTGGCCAAGGGGCCCTGGCAGCCCTGCTGCTTACTGCTGATCAGCCAGGAGGCAAAAACCACAGCATATTGAAAGCCATAGGTTCTGCCTCCTGGCTGATCAGCAGCAAGCAGCAGGGCCCCTCTGCAAGTCTTGGAAAAGGGGTGCGGTATGGCTCATGGCAAAATGAGCAAGAATAAATGAGCTGCTGTGGAGTGCACTTCCACTGCAATTTTGTAGGTCCCTACTTATAATTACATCAAAAATTTATGTTAGCGCTCATAAATTACATGTAAGCTTTTCATCAGTGACTCAATATGGGACGTTATGTGTGTAACAGAAGAGGATGACAGGATAGTAATTTATTACATGCACACTCACACACACTCCTAAAAGTCAATACAGATGTATGGCCAACTACCCTAGCTGTTTAAGATAGCAAGAAACTGATTTGGTAACACCTGTATGTTACACAATTTTCATTTACAAAGGAAGGTCTACCGTAGAACAACAGCCTTTAAGGCAGACAAGAAGAGACCTGTTCCGTTTCAGCTGGTCTTTGTGAGGAATCTTCCATTTTACACCAATCAGTCAGTGAGTCCATGTAGAACAAACCTGTTATTGTTCCTCCAAGTTCACAACTGTACTTTGCTCTTCCTCAACAAGTCAAATAAAATTATAACCTTTCATAATCAAATGGTCAATGCCAATCTATGAAGTTTTTAAATGAACTTCAGTTATGTAAAAGGAAAAGATTTTTAGAAACACAGCCTATTTTCAGAAAAATTATATATTCTAGAAACTGTAGGCAACAAATCTGTTCCCCTCAGATTATTCACTCCACAGAAGTAACCAGCTCTGCTAATTTTTATGGTACCATCAAGCGTGAAAGGAATGCAAGACTGATCTTGCAACTTGTGTTGGAGTTTGCTGGATAAGTGCCATTTATTAACAGCTTCACATTTTAGATCATAAGCATAATTTCTACCCCTACTTCCAAAGCCAAATGTTATGAAAATGATGTAATTTTATACTGGACCAAATTATTTGCCAGCACTAATTGCTTTGAAATAAACATGGACTGAATATTTTAATTTGTAAACTACACCCACTGGATTGAGATATAAGAAGTGAACTGAAAATAAAACCTAGTCATTCATTTCCTTGCACGTTTGAAGACTGAAGACATTCAGGGCTGCTTGCAGTCATGGAAAAAAAATGGTGTTTTACTTTAAACTCAGCACTTTGTCATGCCGAACTTAGTACATGCCCAGAAGAGGCAGTCCATTAGCTGCACCTGGCTTTCACAAGGCCTGTATAGATCAGGCACTTTAGTGGGACTTTTTTGGTGTTTTTACCTAATAGCTGATTGAATCAGCTTTAGCTAAGAGTGCCAAAAGGCCCTGCTGAAATGCCCGATATATACAGCTGCTGTGGAGCTGGGCTGAAGTAAAGTGCATTTTTTTTCCGTTAAAGCACATTCCCCACCATGTGTGTCAGCACCCTTTGTGTACAATCAACAGAGAGCATTGATGCTTCCAGCAATTTTAAAGTTAATCCAAACCCTTATTTTCATACAACCTTATCCATGCGAAAAGCCAAGTTCTTCAGTTTCTTAACTTTTCTATAAGGTTATAAATATACAATAACTCCTTTCATTTTCTGTTGTTAGAGCATACTGGGTTTGAGCAGCTTTCACTAATTTAGTTACACTGATAGTAACAGAAATATGGCACAGCTAGAATTACAATCAATAGAAGCTGTTTGCGCAGTCATCTTCTAGAAATTTTCTTGTGCCCTTTGGCTTGGCATAACAGGACAAACAGTTCTTGCACTACTGATGAGTATTAAATAAGATACACAGAATACTTTATAAAATGTCAGCTAAACCTGTCGACCTTAAAAACTCTTCTGCTGATAATACTGGAATTTGCATGCACTCTGCCTGTAGGCTCAAAGAGAGGGTTGTATTTAGTTATAACAGGATCTATAACATGGGAATTAAACACCTGACCTTCATGACGCAGTTGTGTTCATCATGTGATTTTATAGGGCCTGCAGAATCAAAACCTTTTTTTGTCTGAAGAGGAATAGATTTCTCTCCCTCATGAGAAAAACAGTAATGAAATAAACCCTTTAAATGTGAAATAAACTCTATGCTATCTTCCCAAGCTTACACAAGTCATTGTTTCAGGACTAAGTTTTCAGCCTCATAAATTTAACTGGGACCTTAGATCTAAATGTCTTATAATTTTAGCAGACAATAGGGAAGTAAGACAGGTTCTAACTTTAGCAACATCACTGCATCTTGCCACTTCAATTATGCCACCATATTTTATGAACAAGAATCTTTGCACATTTATATTGCACATGGAGTATTAAAAAGCCTTAGGCTGCCTTTCAGAAAGTAGTCAGTATCCAGGTTTTGGTTTAACCAAAAAAGTTTCCCTTAAGTTATTCTTGAAGAGCTTTCTGTTTAACCAGTGTATCAGTGGTAAAATAAATTGGAATAAGAATAATCTAATACATTTTCAGACATATAGCTAAAGTATTTTGTAAAATAATTTTTATTTGACAACAAGGTTCAAAAGACTGCTTCTGCACAGACAGCACATTAGACCCTCTAACTTATGAGAAAGGAACCTTTAACAGATTTCAACATTTCAATACAAAATAAAATTGAAATGCCTCTAAATGTTTCTGAGGAAGTCCTTTTAGCACATCTAGTGAATACTGAAACAAGTTCCTGTCTGGCTGAAGCAGAACATTTAGTATACTAAGTTATAAACCACAGAACACAACTGAAAAATATTGCAGAATAACTTAACAGACAGGATGTACCCGAGTATTTGCTTTAGCAGTTATCGTTTAAAAAAAAACAAACAAAGAAGTTAACACTAAGATATCCTTCTTAAATATTGTAAACTGTTCTTTTCAAACAGGTGGTCCTTTGGAATTGAGTTGATATAAAGAACCCCATCCATAAAGCAGGATTCATAAAAGGTGTGTACACCATTTACAATCCTGTGCCTTTGTTTAGTTACAGGGTGTAGATTGCAGGCATAGAAAACACAGCTCTGTTTAAAATCAACAGACAGAACAGTGTGCAGATCAAAAGCTGAACCAGCCTTCTGACGTCATATCTTCTCTACGATACGCGCCAAAATTTTATGAAACCAAAGATCTGTTGGGATATTTATAGTCAGAAGCAGAGAGCTACTGACTTTTGCTTCATCACAACTCAGTTAGGAACATGAAAAATAACAGTGCCTATTTCTATACTTCAAGGTAATAACTACACTCTCTTACCTTGCAGTACTTCCATAGGGAGAACGGTCCAGGCATTTTCCAGATAGGAGATGTAAATGTAGCGAGCTGTATTACAAGCAAGGCCAATATAAAGCACCCTAAAAGGAGCAAGGAAGAGACAGGTCATGGTGGTTTACAGTTTCCTTGTTTTATATAGTACCTTGCTCTACAAATCCTAATTAGAGTGTGCACGTGCAACAGTTCTCTCTCATACAGCAACTTCTTGCTTGAATGCCTTCTTTACAAAGGTCCCATGCCCAAGTATAAACCCTGAAGACTCGATTCAACTGTCAAGTAAAAAAAGGGGGGTATTTTATAAATTCAAATAAAACCCAGAGTGCATTCTTTCCTGTGTCTCTAAAACAAGTTAATCCTGCAAGAAAGTTTTTTTAAGGGTTAACATACACTTAAGTGGGTAGTTTCTATTATTTTATGTTACATTCAACTGCACTGTGTTTTCTAGAGAATATTTCTAACATACCCATGGCCAGCCTTTTCAAATGTTTTCTTAATAAGTAATTTCAGGAAAGGGTGATGTCTGAATCATAACAAAGAGGATACAACTTAATATGTGCTTGGTACAAGTCCTTATTATTACAGAGATTGATTTTATGCAGGCTGATGCAAGGTTAATATTTCAGAAGTTTCATCTAGCTTACCCTTACCCTGAAACCTGTACTCTTTCACAAAAACAAAAGTTCTTGGTCATAATATAATTTACTAAAGGATTACAGTATAGTATACTACTTTTCAACAGGACAAGTATTTCCTTCCCATCTATCCATCTCATATTCTCCACCATGTCAGCCACCATCAGTTCAGAAGCAAAAGAAATCAAATAAGGAGTATAAGCAATGTTCTCCCTCCTTGGCAGTACATCCTATCATTTGCTGACCACAAAATTCACTCAGTAATTTTTACAACATTCAGCTGTATGCTATTAATTCTAAAGCAAAATCAATCTCCTTCATTTCAATTTACTTTCTAAAGAAAAGGCAGCACATTTTGTAATGAGAGCTGTTCAACGTTGGTTATCATATCATAATCCAGCACTTAACATTTTAATATAATCACTGGCTTAATTTAGCTCTCTTTAGTGATTTTAGTAAATTAATATTACTTGTATGAAAACTGTGTTTTGGGGCTTTGTCATACAAAAACAACTGTATACTTACAGTACCTGCTGAAAAGCCTATTTACAGTATTCCCCTTTTTTAGTAGAACTAATGAACTAAACAGGTAACATAAATAAAGATTTCTTATGAATTATAACCTACTTAGAGTGTCCACAGCAATACCATAATCATAGAATCATAGAAGTAGGGTCAGAAGGGACCTTGTAGATCTTCAAGTCCAACCCCCCCGCCTGAGCAGGAGAAAGACTGGGCTCAGATGACTCCAGCCAATTAGGCATCAAGCCTCTTCTTAAAGACCCCCAGGGTAGAAGCCAGCACCACTTCCCTTGGAAGTTGGTTCCAGATCCTAGCCGCCCTGACTGTGAAGTAGTTCTTATGGATGTC